TCTGGAGGGGGCGGGGTCTAACTCGGTGTTACGGTGGGTTTGACCCTAAATTAGTTTTACAGCAGAATATCCCTTTGAAGTGGATTGTTTTCTTTTTACACAAACGTCCAAACCTCATCAGGATCGGGGTTTATATAAATATCTTGTTTTCATCTGAATCTTTGATTCTGACCTACTTTTGTTGTGACACCTGTGTCAGACTTACAGGAACAGTATGTGACATATTTGCCAACATGCATGCTAACTCTGTCCCTGCAGAGACAAATGTCAAAGGTATATTTAAAGTCGTGTCATAAACCCATCGCTGTTATTACTCTGTTCCTTTGTGACGAATGTAAAACCAGACTCATTACAGAAGTACAATCCTTCCCCCGAGGCGCCGCCGTTCTTAGTTCACCTCGTACTGTGTGTGTCTGTGACCTGTGTGTGTGTGTGTGTGTGTGTGTGTGTGTGTGTGTGTGTGTGTGTGTGTGTGTGTCATTTTTTGTTTGTGATGTAAATTCAAACGTCGCACAGAAAGATGCAGTAATCTGATTATTGATCATGTGAACAGGGATCTGAAGTGATACAGGTTTTCAGGTGTTCGGTGTTTGATTTTGTAGTCCTGGAGGAATAACGGGCGCTTAAAACGGAGGTAGACCGGACAAGAGCTAAGGCGCCGGGTCAACATAAACCATGGGGGACGCTTGGGGATCTTGGTGACCCTGTCACCTTTCTGCTGGACAGGTAAACCGCTTTAACAAAGTAAGACAAGTGTCTGTAACAGAAGTGTTTCTTGTCAAACGGACCTGCTGTAGCGTGTTGTAGCGCCATCGCTAAACTGTCCTCCCTCGGGTCCTGGACTATGTCACTTTATCCTCGTTGTAGAAGTCCTGCAAACATTGTGTTTGCTGGTAGTCTGTTGGCATCTACAGTAGCACCAATGCTTTTGACTTTCACCTTGACTGGGCCCCATTTGTAATGATCTGAAGGATTTATCTGCATTATATCGGAATTTAACTGGAACTAAACTGGTTGGAGGGGTCGAGTTTACAGTCAAGGTTTCTCCTAAAAACTGGGACTTCATCAGATCCTGAACTACAACACCTTTAATTCAACTCTATACCAGCAGACTAATGACTTAACCGCATCAAAGAGTGAAAAAATAACCACGATGTACGTCGACACTCACAGCATTTTACATCTTTTAACTTAACATTTGCGTGACTGTTCAGTGTCATATTTATGTCTGTGGCTTTGAGTGAGAGCTGGACTCCTCCAGGGCCGCCCTCTGTCTCCGGTTCTGTTCAGAACCTTTATGGAGGGGAGGGGGTCCAGTTCTGCAGGCGGAGGATCACAGCGCTGCTTTTTTTGGATGATGTGGTTCTTCTGTCTTCGTCCAGCAGTGACCTTCAGGTCTCGCTGGGGCGGTTCACAGCTCAGTGTGAAGCGACTGGGATGTGAATCAGAACCTCCAAGTCTGAGGTCATGGTCCTCAGTCAGAAGAAGGTAGATCACCTTCTCCAGGTCAGAGGGGCGGTCCTGCCTCAGGTGGAGGAGTTCAAGTATCTCAGGATCTTGTTCAGGAGTGAGGGTAGGATGGAGCAGGAGATCGACAGGCGGATCAGAGCGGCGTCAGCAGTGATGCGGACGTTTAACCGATCAGTGGTGGTGAAGAAAGAGCTGAGCCGTGAGGAGAGACTCTGGATTTACCGGTCGATCTACGTGCCGATCCTCACCTATGGTCATGAACTTTGGGTAATGACCGAAAGAACAAGATCGCAGATACAAGCGGCTGAAATGGGTTTCCTCCTCAGGGTGTCCGGGCTCAGCCTTAGAGATAGGGTAAGGAGCTCGGACACTCGGGAGGAGCTCAGAGGAGAACCGCTGCTCCTCCACGTCCAGAGGAGTCAGCTGAGGTGGCTCGGGCATCTGGTTAGGACGCCTTCTGGACGCCTCCTGTTAGAGGAGTTCAAGACATGTCCCACCGAGAGGAGACCTCGTGGTCGACCGAGGACCAGGTGGAGGGATTATATCTCTCTCCTGACCTGGGAGCGCCTGGGAATCCCCCCGGAGGAGGAGGAGCTGGTGGGAGTGTCCGGGGTGAGGGCCGTCTGGACTTCCCTCCTGAAGCTGCTGCCGGATGAAGTGCAGAAAACGACGATGACTTTGAGTCAAAGAAAACTCTACTGTGAAAGAAAGCCGAGTTTGGTGATGTTGGTGTCGTGGTGTTTCTGCTCTTTGTTTGAAGAAGACACACAGAGGTGTAAGAGGCCTGGAGCGTCTCCGTCAGTTCACTGCTAATGAACTTTCATCTGTTTAATGTTGTTTTGAATGAACAGTGTGTGTGTGTGTGTGTGTGTGTGTGTGTGTGTGTGTGTGTGTGTGTGTAACATGTACACACCTTCAGGCCACAGCACCAAGAATTTGCAGGTGGAGCCCCCATCGCTGCTTCTCGACCCCTCGGTAAAACGTTTTTTTCTCAAACCTGCGGTCGCGGTCGTACGAACACTGATCAGTTATCGTTGATGATAAATCCCACCTCTTTGTTCATGTTTAGGGTCATTGACATTCAGACACGCCTCCAACTGACCATATATGGTATCAACAATCGCTTTAAAAGTGCCTGAATGGATTTTTTCCCCCTCGCTGAAATCATGGAGGTGCACACTCACAGATGATCCATGTGATCATCTCAGATTATTGATCCTTTCCTGTTGATTAAACTGAATTGATCGTGTGAAGGTGCTTTTATTACGATGTGGTCAAATCTACGGCTCCGGTTATGTTTGGGAATCCGGCGATGGCGTGAAATCCTGGTTTTATTTCCGCTTGTTGTTGATGTTTGTTCGGGAACTGGATGTAAGTCGAGGTCAGATAAATTATTGTGTCCAGCCCGGGTTTTCTACCGCATCCGGAAGGGCTCTGATCTGGAACAGCAGCAATTTTCGCCGTCTGTCAATTCCTAACGGCTTTGTGAGGAGAATTACACGGCAGATCACCGACGGAAGAAATCAGGAGAACTCACAAGAACCTGCAGATTCACGTTCAATCTCACGATAACAAGTTGTCTCTCTAAAGACAGACACATAGACATATAAGCAGTAGATTGTGTCCTTCCAGAGGAGGAAATCTACTTCTAGACTTCTAGAATCAGCATCTCCTCATCCATGGTGTCATCGGGGTGAAATGACGTCTAAAAACCTTTCACTTGTTCGTTTGACACGTTAACTTGAATGGTTACGATCAGAAAAGATCGGAGGATACGACCTTTTAGGAGACGATCAGGATGAAGGTGGAGGTCGGGGGGTTAGTCATCCTCCAAAGACGCCATTGTTGAGAAGAAAAGTCATTTAACGTCGGTTGTGTGGTCGTGGTTCGAGTTTCTCCAACGACGTGTAACCCTGAATTTCCGTTGGAACAGGTCCTCTCTGCCCACCGGATCCGATCCGATGCCGCCATCGGAGGAGAAGCTCTCGCTGTATTCCTGATAGTTCACGTGAGACTGGATGAGATCTCGCTTACACCAAGAGACATAGAATGAGATCTGCCGATCGGTGTGTATAAAAACGCCCACATCCCACAACAACCCTGACCTCTCCTTTTGTTTAACAGTTTAACGTACTGACTTTATTTTATTTTGAAAATCAACAGGATATCTTACTCTGTAACCACATTAAACTTCCTCTGCTGCTCGTGCTGCGGCGTCCAGCCGAAACAGAAGAGCTGCGTATTTGATGGCGGACAGGTTCTGTGACACACTGATTATAACGTTTACGTGTTTGATCCTCCTGCTGTGCCGGAGCGGAGCGGCGCCGTTCCACATCCTTTGGGTTTTGCCCGTAAAGTATGTCGGCGGTCGGTGCCTCAAAAACCGTCAACACAACCGATCAATCATCTGAAGAAGTTCTTCCCGAGTGATTATGAGGAAATCATGAAAATGTGGGCGGAGTCTGTACAGCCTGTCACTGCATTAGCATTAGCAGTTTAGCTACAACTGGCGGTGCAACCACCAGACCAAAGTAATCGATCAATCGTTTCATCTAGGATCGCCTCTTCATCATCTCTGAGGGACATTCGGGGTCTTTGGTTCCTGCAGAAACACTCAGGACTGTAAACTCTAAATTTGTTTTACTGTTGAGTTAAAATGTTTTGATATTTTTCTACGTTTATCTCTTTTATTTGCTTCGTATGTTAATAATTCTTGAACGAATCTCGATGTTCTTCAGTTTGTCGTACAGATGCTTTAAAACTGACAGTAAATTTTGTTTTTTTGAGTCATGATAATAAACGAGATCGGACAGATCACGCCGTCCTACTGCAGAGTAAAAGTATTTCGATCTTAAAGTCAGGCCCACTTTGGTTGGCTTATTTTCAGACCGTCATGTTTGGAGTCAAAGTTTAGCCGTCATAGAAATGTTTTAAAAAGTTAGTTTACATTTGAGCGTACCATCGTCTCCTGCTCATGCACACACAGTCATGTCAGCCACCACTCGACTCCCCTGCAGAAAAGGTTTATTTTTCATGTCAAGACTTCACAGACTTCTCCCATGATCACATCAGGCTCTGTGTTCGAGAGCCATGATGTATTTGGACGGAGTAAAGAGACTGAAAAGAAGAGTAAAGTCTGAATAAATAAACTCAAATATTTAAAAACAAGGTTTACACCACTATTTATCCTTCATCACCATCCATGAAAAGCTGTTTCTCTACAAACAACAGTTACATCACTGTTCAAACTCGATCCGAGTCCCGCGGGTTGAAGCGTTCTTATAAAGGCCCATCAGAAAGTCGCGCAGACGTCCGCCTCCTGAGAGTGGAGCTCCTCCCCCCTGGAGATGGTTCGTATTTTCACAGTCATTCTGAAGTTTGTCTCAGCGCCTGCTTCGCTGCTTCAGGTCTGAAAATGATCTTTTTAGTGATCATTCGGATCGGACTCACAAACCTTCAGTGTGTCATCGATCCGCTTAAAGAGGTCTTATCGATATCTGAAGTTACATTTGAGGACAGCAGGTCAGTAGATGTTCAAAACTCTGATGAAGTGCAGGTCTGAGCTGACAGGCGTCTCTTATTTTCAGGCTTCTCTTCGTGTCTTCGCGCTCCTGCTGGGACTGGTGGTCCTGTCTGAGTCTGCATGCTTCAGAAAGCCACTCGCCATCATCGAAGGCCCCGGTTTCCCTGTTTTACCGACTGGTGAGTCACTGCGAGCCAAAGAGGAGTGAGAGTGTCCTTTGTGTTTAGTCGAGACAGTCGCTTCTTTTAAGTCAATTTTAAAAACTCACTTTTACAGACTTGCCTTTATGTGATGCCATCTTTCATCTTTTATTGCCTTTTACCGTTTTTATTTTTCTCCTTTTTCTTTGACCTCTTTCACCTCTTTCTTATTTAGACTTACTGCCTTTTTAGCCTTTGTTTTACCTATAATCTTTTTATTGATTTTAATGTTTTCATTTTCCTTTATTTTATATATATATATTTAATTCCACTTTATCATTTATATTACCATCATTTTATTTTATTATGATTTTATTATTATTATTATTAATATCCTCTTTTATACTTATTAGCCTGTTTTCTTCCCTCCTTGTCTATTTCTTTTCTTTTTTTTGCTTTTGTTTTGGTCCTCATGGTCCCATTTATTTGTAGGGTTCTTGTATTGCCTGGGTTTCTTACCAAAAGTGAAACAGGCCTACAATTCAGAGGCCTGTTTTTAACTGAGCTTTTGTTTTTATGTGTTTTTATTTTCAATGTGCTGATGCTCTGTGCTTACAACTGTTGTCTAAGCACTTTGTAAACTTCTGTTTTTAAAGGTGCTATATAAATAAAATTATTATTATTATTATTATTATTAGAAGTTGGATAGAAACATCTACGCCCACCCGCTGAAGCTCGCTGTCCGTCTTTGAAGAACCTGAGAGTCTGATGAGGAGTCCGGACTCTGATCTGAACTGTCCTTCGTCTCTCCTGCAGGGTGCGAGGATGACGATGGAAAGACATATCCCTTTGGAGGAACCTGGGTGAGAGACTGCAAGTCCTGCAGCTGCTCAACGGACGGCATGAGCTGCTGTGAGATGTAAGATTTTTACGCTTTAATGTGAAATGCACATCAGAATTATGATTAAGTGCTAAATAAATAAAATTATAAAGTGTAGAACTACTTTGGAGAGGGCGTGGTCTCAGAAAACGATTGTTCGTCAGACTTTTACTTTGATATGTTGAGTAAACGGCGTTGTTTCCTGTCTCGTCCAACTTTTATTTTGAAGTTTTGTAAGTTACAGAACAGATTGAAAGTATAATTGTTGATGAACTGATTAACTGAAACCCAGAGGGACATAAATCTTTAATGTCAGTTTTAGAGGGTCGTCTCTCAGAGAAATAGTTACTCATGTTTTGTTAGGAATGGAAAAGGTCTCTGAAGAACCGAACTTTTATACTTTCTGCTGAACTCTTGTCTTGCCTTTTTCAAATGTTTTTATTTGTTTCTGTATTTTTTTTTCTTGTTGTTGTTTTAAATAAATTTCACCTCAAAGAAGAACTTTTAAAGGTCCTCCTCATCTGCAGGTTTATTCTTGTCTGTCAGGCTTCCTTCAGCAGGTGCGTTCTCCTTCCCTCATCACTGTCAGCTGCTGGTGGATAAGACGGCCTGCACTACCAAGCTGGTGCTGAAGTCAGACAACTCCAGACCTTGTGTGGTTTAAACACCGGACTACAGCGAGGAGGCGTCTTCATGTTTGGCTCAGCTGAAGTGTGACCTGCTCAGACTTGGTGTTTTAAAGATCCATTAAAGTCAGATTCACCAAGATAACCGAGCTGTGTCCTCTCCATGTTTCTTTAGATTCAAGTGTGACGGCGCTTCAAGCTGAACTCACTATCAGGGTGTAATTGAGTCAGTCCACCACTGTGTGTCAGTGTAGGTCCGTTCAGGCAGACAGAATGTAACAGGGCTCCATTTAGGGTCACTTTTCTGTCTTTATCTTATGAATGTTTTGGTTTGTTTTTCTACAAGTGAGCGAGAATAAGAGCGAGTGTATGAGTGAAGAGTAGAATGAGTGTCACGTCTGTAAGTACACGTCAGAGTTCAAACTGAAAATGAAAAGAAGAAAAGGACCCAAAATAATAATGGTGGATCCAAAATCAAACAAATAAAACAAATATAAAAGAACTGTGGATCATGTTTTCTGCCATGATGCTGCTGAGAAATACAGCAGGAAGAAGAGGGCCAGTGTCCCTGCAGTGCCATCCGGTGGTTTTGGAGGTCCTGCAGGATGTTCGTTCCTTTGAGTTTCTTTGTTTATTCAAACAGATTTAAAGAAAAACAAAATTAATTCAATAAACAATGTGCTTTGGCAGAAAAACAACTGAAGAGACATGGATCATCATACTTAGTTTGAAAGGATGAAGTTGATCAAACTTCTCTAGTCCTCCCTCTTTATCGTTGTTACTGTAATTGAATCAGAGCAGTGAAGAAATAAAAGCACAGAAGAAAGAGAGAATATCAGGAAAAAGGCAGGCTGTTATAAATTCATGTTTCCGTTTCTCTCTTAAATCCGTTCAGAATGAGGTTTATAAAACTTTCCACAGATGAACTCCTTTGACATTTTCGTGTTTGTACGTACAGGTTGTTGTTTTTAAAAATGCATATTCCCCTGAGATGAAGTTTGTTTGCTCTTATTTGAAACAGATTTTGGATGTCCTGTGGTCACTGATTCGGATTCGTCTTCAGTTTGAAGACGCGTGGGTTTGATGCTTCTCTGTAGATACTTTCATTTACTATTTTTATGGCTCTTTTTTGGAGTTTGTTCTGTATGTGTTCACACTTCCACACAGACAGTGATGTATGTATGAATGAAGAGTAACAGGTGTATACAGATGATATTTGACTTGATGTAGTATTGCAGTTGTGCTGTATATGTGGCTTCCAGGATAATTTGCTGTCAATTATGACTCCAAGAAATGTTATTTCACTCACTCTCTTTATTATCATTATTATTATTTATTTTATTTTTTTTAATCTTTTTTATCACGAGTTTCTTTTCATGAGAATTTGGTTTTGTTTAGATTTAGTGTGAGTTTATTTGAGTCAAACCAGCTCTTCAGTTTTATTTCTCTTTTTTCTCCCTTTTTGTCTTTTTAGCTTCATCCAAGTGAAAGTGTAAACAGAGTCCGATCAGCTGATATGGTACATTGATAATACCTTTAGAGCCACGCTCAGCTTCATATATGATCGGTATTTGGATCATTACGCTAAAGCTGAGATGATTGGTTTCCAGTCACGCAGGTTTATTCATCGGCTGATCTTTCTCTCATGTACATCAGAGTTATTTCTGTGTCAGACCTTTGGGAACAGTATGTGACTAACTCATGTCTGTCTGTCTGTCTGTCTGTCTGTCTGTATTAACCTGTCAGACTGCAGAGTGTGTCGATGTGTAGATGACAGATTGACGTCGTTGCTGAAATCAGCCTCACAGTCATTATAGGCTGAAATGAAACACAACCAGGTGATTAGCTACAAAAAGGACCAACCCGACCTAAATACCTCAGGTATATGACGGACACTTTGACTCATGCAGGAGTCGAGTTGTGTGTGTGTGTGTGTGTGTGGGGGGGGGGTTATTGTTCGGGACAGATATTTTGTTCTGATGACGGTGAACATGGTGGGAAACCAACTGTGTTCCCATTTTACTGTTACTAAAGCACAAAGGTCATTATTATATTATATTATATTATGTTATATTATATTATATTATATTATATTAAATTATATCATATTATATTATGTTATATTATATTATATTATATTATATTATATTATATTATATTATGTTATATTATATTATATGATGTTATATTATATTATGTTATATTATATTATATTATATTATATTATAACATAATATGGCTCCATCTTACCTCTCTGAGCTTCTCCACCCCTACACCCCTGCTCGCTGCCTCAGGTCAGCTGATCAGCTGCTCCTGGAGGTACCGAGGTCCAAACGGAAGCTCAGAGGGGTTCGATCTTTTTCTGTTGCAGCCCTAAATTTAGCCCCCTCCAAATTAGACAAGCCCCCACACTGTCCATTTTTAAAAGTCGTCTTAAAACCCATTTTTATTCATTGGCTTTTAACCCTGCATGAGACTCGGCTCCTGTTTTAGTGTTTTATGGTTTGTTTTTAGTTATTTGTTTCTCTGTTTTTAAATTAGTTTTTAAAAACATTGAAACTATATTTTACTTTTAATTCTGCTTTTATTTTATCCATTGTTTTAATTGTTTTTTGATTGTTTTCCATCTTGTTGTTTTGTCTAGTTATGTACAGCACTTTGTTCAGCTGTGGTTGTTTTAAAGTGCTTAACAAGTTGAGTTGAGTATATTATATTATACTATATTTAATTATATTATATTATATTAAATCATATTAAATTATATTATATTAAATTATATTAAATGATATTATATTAAATTATATTAAATTGTATTATATTATATTAAATGATATTAAATTATATTATATTAAATTATATTAAATTATATGATATTAAATTATATTAAATTATATTATATTAAATTATATGATATTAAATTATATTAAATTATATTATATTAAATTATATGATATTAAATTATATTATATTAAATTATATTATATTAAATTATATTAAATTGTATTATATTATATTAAATTATATTAAATTATATTAAATTATATTATATTAAATTATATGATATTAAATTATATTAAATTATATTATATTAAATTATATGATATTATATTATATTATATCATATTATATTATATGATATTATATTAAATTAAATTAAATTAAATTAAATTAAATTAAATTAAATTATATTATATTTAATTAAATTATATTATATTATCCGTCAAGTTGAGCTGTCAATGTCACTTGGTCCCGGTACTGAAATCACAACAGCGTCACCGGTTCTGCTTCGCCACTTCCTGAGTGTTTTTTTCACATGTGCCTCTCCACCCAGAGTCGTCGTCGTTTTCTTCCTCTTCATCCTGGTCCGGGTCGCGGGGGCAGCAGCTTCAGGAGAGAAGCCCAGACGGCCCTCACCCTGGACACTTCCACCAGCTCCTCCTCCTCCGGGGGGATTCCCAGGCGCTCCCAGACCAGGAGAGAGATATAATCCCTCCACCTGGTCCTGGGCCGACCACGAGGTCTCCTCCCGGTGGGACATGTCTGGAACTCCTCTAACAGGAGGCGTCCAGAAGGCGTCCTAACACCTCAGCTGACTCCTCTGGACGTGGAGGAGCAGCGGTTCTCCTCTGAGCTCCTCCCAAGTGTCCGAGCTCCTTACCCTATCTCTAAGGCTGAGCCCGGACACCCTGAGGAGGAAACCCATTTCAGCCGCTTGTATCTGCGATCTTGTTCTTTCGCTCATTACCCAAAGTTCATGACCATAGGTGAGGATCGGCACGTAGATCGACCGGTAAATCCAGAGTCTCTCCTTACGGCTCAGCTCTTTCTTCACCACCACTGATCGGTTAAGCGTCCGCATCACTGCTGACGCCGCTCTGATCCGCCTGTCGATCTCCCGCTCCATCCTACCCTCACTCCTGAACAAGATCCTGAGATACTTGAACTCCTCCACCTGAGGCAGGACCGCCCCTCTGACCTGGAGAAGGTGATCTACCTTCTTCTGACTGAATATGAATATTAAAGCTCTAAATGTGAAAGTGACGGGTCAGAACAGATGAAAGGACACGTAAACTCCTCAAACTCGTCTTTTAATGAAACACTCTCAGGTGGCTGTTATCTTGTTTTAGTACCTTGAGGTCAAACGTCCTGATATAACTGCACATGTTTCTGAGGGTCTGCTTATGCAGGTGTCGCCTGAGTCTTTGACCTGATCCAGTCTGTGAAGCTGCTGACCCGAGTGTAGACCCCAGGTTTGTTCTTCCTCCCACACTGATCCCCCCAGCTGACCAGACCATAAACAACATGAGAGCCGTTCTGTTCACAGGTGAGCGGCCCTCCAGAGTCGCCCTGAAACAAAAACAGGGTTAGTCGGTTAAAAACTGTCTGTGCAGAAACACAGACGACCAGACAGTCAAACACCAACTTTAACGAACTTTAACGAACGTTACTCCGACTTCACAGACAGACTCGTTTTTAAAACAACCTCTGCACTCATGGGCGGGTCTCTCCACTCACCTGGCAGGAGTCCACCCCGCCCTGCAGGTGACCGGCACAGAACATGCTGTTATCCAGGGATTTTCCGTAGACACGCGGTTCGGAGCATTTCTCCTGGTTGATCAGCAGAACGTTGGCTTCCAGGAGGTGGTTGGAACCGAGTTCAGCTGCATGAGATATTTCAGACATTTTAACAACAATAACCACACAGCTTTGAGTTATTAGCTAAATAAGTGTGTTCTTACATATCTCTGTGGCCCCCCATCCAGAGATGGTACACTCCATCCCATCAGGCAGCGGGGCGTCAGGCAGACACGCCGTCTTCACAAATTGCGTCTCATTCGCACAAACGCCGTTGGCACCGCTCAGCCTCAACAAAGCTTTGGAGAAAAGTACAAAAGAAGTTACAAAACCATGAAACCCTCGACGTTTCTTATTTTAACTCATTTTAAATCTTCGCATTAATCTTCACAGCCTCTCCACTTCCACTTAAAGGGTCAATAATTACAGTTTCATCGTTGTCATGGAGACTAATTCTTATTTTAATATTTTTACCAGATAAAAACTCTTACCTCAGAACTTTTCAATAAGAGAAAGAAATGTGAGACATATATCACCGATGTCGTTGTAAACAGCTGATGGCGTTTCTCGGTAGTTCTCGTGGACGATGGCCTGCTCCACATTTATGATCTGCTCGTCCGGTTCCACGGTATCCAGAGACAGACTCCCCATCACCACCTGCATGTCCTTCCTCTGCTCTCTGGTCAAAAATAAGACTATTATTATTATTATAATTATAATTATAACCTTTGTTTATAAGACACTCTGTAAACCTGAAGTGATGGTGGAGAGCGAGCGTACAAACTTGTTTCAGAAATATTCAGATGTTTAGCTTCGACTGATTTTAACAGACATGAAATATTAAAATACATTCACAGCCTGAACCACCTGCCTCACAGGTGAGCTGCAATCTTCTCATTGGAAAGTCAAACATGATCTTTTATTTTACCATCTATGGTGAAAAATCCACAATAATCGCTCACAGAACCTCCAGATGTCCTCAGGACAACTTTCTTATAGGAAAAACAAACAAAGTGGAGAAAGGACAGCAGGAAAATCTACACCCTTCTGTCCACTTTCATCCTGGTCAATCAAAGCTCTATTATATATATATTTACATATATATTATATATTACATATTATTTATATTCTATAGTAAGAATGTGAGGTTTTCTTGAGCTCGACTCTCTTTCTGATGCTGAGGGACGCACAAACTCTTCTGTGTGAGGTCTCCTATCCCCAAAAACAGTTCAAGTTAAATCCTCACTGCAAAAGTTTAATAAATCAAACATTTAATAAATTTAAAAAAAGAGCTTTTTACGATAAAAACATGCCGGAACTGCAGAGGAGAGAAAAGGAGCAGTAAAGCAAAGTGAGAGGACAAAGTTAGGATTGAAGAGGGAACTGCAGGTGGACCCTGTGGGGACCCTGAAAACCCCGGCAGGGTCTCCTGATAAACTCTAATTTCTGCTGATGAACTCAGTTCTTTCTCCACCAGGTTTAGGACCTGGAGCTGGTCTGGAAATTTCAGGTGACGAGTCTTTAATCATCTAAAAGAACAAACTAAACCGATCTTTATTTAGAAACACTGACAGCCGTGAAGCGACCCCTGTGAGGAGACCCTAACTGTGACTGTAACGTTAAATGAAGAGTCTGTAATGTTGAAAGAGTTTCTGAGACTAAAGTTGATCGAACGTTAACATGGAATCGACACACTGAAGACATTAAAGGGAAAATTTCAAAATCACTTCAATCCTGTTCAAATCAAGAAAAATATTGATTTCCAAAGCTTTGTGTTTGATCACCTTCTCATTGATTAGTCCTTCTATATCTGACTGTGTGGAACTGTGGGGATCCACCTTTAAAACCACTATAATCAATAATCAAACTGCAAAAACCAGCTCTACCTATGATCAATAAGACTGATTAATATGATCACATGTTATGAAATATAGATTCTCATGTTGTGAAATTTTATGATCTGTTTTATGATAAAATCAGAGATGCTCCCTGACTGAATACAGAGGTTGTTTTCAGTTCAGGACGGTCGGTATAATCTCAGAGGTGTTTGTTAATTTACTGAACAAAAAACTAAAAAAGGAGACGTGTCTCTGTTCCTGGAGTTAAACTCTGTCATGATGCCGACATAAATCTAAAAACAGGTCAGTCTTTGTTGGTTTTTAATAGTTTGTAAAACTGTTTTTGAAGTTTATAAGTCGATTAATTCTCCGTTGTTGCTGTTTCTTTGCTCTTCTGGAGGTCGGTAGATTAAAAAGTTTAAAACACAGAAAGACTTTTATAATCAGTCTGTTTCTGTCTTTTCAGTCAATATTCAACATGATTCTGGTTTAGTGTGAAATGTTAATATTGTGTAGAATATTTTGTGTTGACTGAATAAACGACTTCTACTTCTACTTCTACTACAGAAAACCTGTCTGAGGAGTGAAATACTCTGACCTCTGTATTAATTCAGCCTCCCAGTTTACTGACATGAACTCTTGTGATCCTGAAGACGCTCTCGTCACTTTAATGAACCTCGTCTCCAAATATCCGAACACTCCTAAAAACTACACAGAGGTTCATTCTCCTCTGGATTAAGATTAAGATGAAATCAGGTACACCTGTGAGAGGACGGGTCGCTCTAAAGTCAGAAGCTGTAACAGGTGTGTTTTATCTAAATACTCACATGCAGTGTCCCGCCGTCAGAACCCAGCAGCTCTCGATGAGGACGCCTCCACAGATGTGTCTGAACTGGTGGTTGGTGTTCTGGGGTCTCACCTGTAAAGAGACCTGCCAGGGGATCGCACCTGGAGGCACCTTCAGACCCCCAAAGATCTTGGTGATGGGCTTCTTTGGCTGAGGTTTCCCACAGGTGGAGAACTGCTGCGGTGGCGGTGAGGGGGCGGCGGGGGCGAGAGACACTGTTGGTTCAGGAGGGGGCGGAGCCTGGGTGGTCATGGGTTCAGGTCTTGTTGGTTCGACAGCTTGTGTGGGTTCAGGTTTTGTGGGTTCTGGTTTTGTGGGTTCAGGTTTTGTGGGTTCTGGTTTTGTGGGTTCTGGTTTTGTGGGTTCAGGTTTTGTGGGTTCTGGTTTTGTGGGTTCAGGTTTTGTGGGTTCTGGTTCTGGAGAGGGTGGGTCATGTGATGGAGATGGTTCTTCAGTCGGAGCTTCACCTGAAAACGAACATTGACTTCGTTTCTGATCCGATATCTCTGATTTATAATTGATACAGTTCTGATCAATACAGTTCATCTTTTAAACAGACAGGTGTGTGTGTGTGTGTGTGTGTGTGTGTGTGTGTGTGTGTGTGTGTGTGTGTGTGTGTGTGTGGAGGTTTCAGACCCACCTGTGGGTTCAGGACACTCAGCGATGTCGCAGTAATCCCACAGCAGGTGGCGCCCTCTCCTGAAGAAACACCAGGGCATCCTCTCTCCGTCCGGGTTTCTGAGTCAAAGAAAACGTCGGCTTTAGTTTTCGTTTTTTTTCCAGGTTCGGTTTTCTTCTCGGTTTTCTTCGTACCTGCAGAAGTTGTGAGGGCCGAGTCCGTCTTTGTCCTCAAAGGTGTCGAACGGGTCGACTCCTCTCGCCAGGATAAAGTGAGAGTTCCATTGCAAACATTCGTCTCCGTCGTCCGTCTCGCTCACGTTCCCTCGATAAGACTCTCCATCGTCAATAAAACAATCCCCAGGACCTCAAATACACCGAACACATCCAGAGTTAAAGATTCAGGCCTCTGTCATTAAACAGGACTCTTTAAAATCAGGAGATTTCTGTTGTTTTTGTCTCTTTTCTAAGTAGAAAAATAAAGTCTGAATATCCGTTACAGTCAGTCGACAATATTAGAGTATAATAAATCAGAGTAGAATAAATAATTCAGGCTGGAAAATGAATTAAAATGATTAAAATTACAGTAACATCATGTTTATTACAAATAGCATAAAACAACGTTTCGTACAAAATATAGTTTTCATTTGATTTATTTAATTTAAGTCAAATATCTAAATAACAAGTTTATGGAAGTATATTGTTTTGTCAACAATGTCAATAGGAGAGTGGAATTGATATATATTGTTGTGGATAACTACTACTACTAGTACTGCAACGACTACTACCACTTCTACTACTACAACTACTACAACTACTACTATTATTATGTTATTATTATCATTAGTAGTAGTAGCAGTATATATATTTTTATCTTTATATTCTTATTATTCGAATTCATATTATTATTTTAATATTAGTAGTTGTTGTAGTAATGATATTATTGTTATTATTATTATTATAATGACACTTATTACGTAATTATTTGATAATTATTAAGTTCATTATTATTAATCTTATTATTGTAATTATGATTATTTTTATAATAATAATAATAATAATAATTATTATTATTATTATAATTATTATTATTATTATTTACTATTATAACTATTATTATTATTATTATTATTATAATTATTATTACTATTATTATTGTTATTATTATTACAATTATTATCATAATTATTATAATTGTTATTTTTATTATTTATCTTAATATTGTTATTATTATTATTTAAATTATTATTATTAATATTTTTTTATTATATTTTTATTATTATTACAATTAAGATTGTTTTAATTATTATTATAAATATTGTCATTGTTATTATTATTGTTATTCCTTACTTTTTAATTTTTTTATTAATATTGGTATTATTATAGTTATTTTTATTATTATAAATATAATAATAATTATTATTGTTATTATTATATTTGCTATTATTATTATTATTATTATTATTTATTATTATTATAATTATAATAATTATAATAATAAAACTAAGAATTATTATTATTATATTTGTTATAGTAATAATAATAATTATTATTATTTTTATTATTATTATTATTATATTTGTTATTATAATTATAATACTTATAATACTAATACTACTAATAAAAATTATTATTATTATTATTATTATTATTATTGTAATATTTGTTGTTATTATTATTATAATTATTATTATTATTATTACAGAAGGGTTGGACTCGACTCTGCTCTTCCTTTTTAATTCTCCTTTTTTTCTTAGTTCATGATAAAGTGCTCTTTTTGTTGTAATTCTCGTCTTTTTAGTGAAAAACAAAGAAATTGTAGATCTTACCAACGTGGCAGAAGAGTCCACTGTAACCGGGAGGACACTGGCAGGTAAAATCATTTTCGTCTATGACGCATGTTCCTCCGTTTTTACACGGATTAGGGTCACAGAGAGAATCTTTGAAGACAGAGAGTAAACTCAGTATTTCCTGACAGGAAGTCTAGAAATCAAATCTGATCATGAGACATGAGAATGAGAGACATGAGAATGAGACATGAGAATGAGACATGAGAATGAGAGACATGAGAATGAGACATGAGAAAGAGACATGAGAAAGAGACACGAGAGAGAGACATGAGAAAGAGACATGAGAATGAGAGACATGAGAATGAGACATGAGAAAGAGACATGAGAATGAGACACGAGAGAGAGACATGAGAATGAGAGACATGAGAATAAGACATGAGAATGAGACGTGAGAATGAGACACGAGAGAGAGACATGAGAAAGAGACATGAGAATGAGAGACATGAGAATGAGACATGAGAATGAGACATGAGAATGAGAGACATGAGAATGAGACATGAGAAAGAGACATGAGAAAGAGACACGAGAGAGAGACATGAGAAAGAGACATGAGAATGAGAGACATGAGAATGAGACATGAGAAAGAAAGACATGAGAATGAGACATGAGAAAGAGAGACATGAGAATGAGAGACATGAGAATAGACATGAGAAAGAGAGACGTGAGAATGAGACATGAGAAAGAGGCATGAGAATGAGACATGAGAAAGAGACATGAGAGAGAGACATGAGAAAGAGACATGAGAATGAGAGACATGAGAATGAGACATGAGAAAGAGACATGAGAATGAGAGACATGAGAATGAGACATGAGAAAGAGACGAGAAAGAGACACGAGAAAGAGACATGAGAATGAGACATGAGAAAGAGAGACATGAGAATGAGAGACATGAGAATGAGACATGAGAAAGAGACATGAGAATGAAAGACATGAGAATGAGACATGAGAATGAGAGACATGAGAAAGAGACATGAGGATGAGAGACATGAGAATGAGACATGAGAATGAGAGACATGAGAATGAGACATGAGAATGAGACATGAGAAAGAGACACGAGAAAGAGACACGAGAAAGAGACATGAGAGAGAGACATGAGAAAGAGAGACATGAGAAAGAGACATGAGAATGAGAGACATGAAAAAGACATGAAAGAGAGACATGAGAAAGAGAGACATGAGAAATCGTCCTCACAGGTTCTGCAGTCGGGCGGCTGGAACGGCGCCTTGCATTTACACTCATAGAAGGGATGGGTGGAGGTCAGCACGCACTCTCCACGCCCACACTTCCCCCTCCGACAGATTTTTGGAGCTGACGGTTGAAGAGTGTTTTTTTTTAGTCCACTTCAGACGGCACATGTTGTCGTTGTTTACATGAAATTCTGCTCACCTCTTTGACACCTCCTTCCTTTGAAGGGTTTCGGACAGTCACATTTGAACCTCCTTCTTCCTTTTGGTTCACACTCTCCGTTATTGAGGCACGGGTTTGGATCACACTGACCTGGAGGGTTAGGGTTCGAGAAGCTTTAGAGTGAAAACATGAAAAAAAAAAGGTCTGAGTGAATAAAATAAAACGATTTTCACCTTCAGGCTCCTGTAGCTCATAAAGCCAGTCTGAGTTACTTTGGTCTTCATCATCATCATCATCACCTCCGTCAGTGATCGCAAAGAAGAAATCTAAAAAAAGAGATTTATTTTTTAATGTTCGATGAAACAGTTTTTAGGACTGAAGACTGAGAATCTCTCCAAGACGTGAAGATCCAGAAATAAAAAATAAAGAATATTCTTGGCGAGTATCAGAGCGGCTCATATTTCCGTGTAACTGTAGATCTTTACAGCTATAACACACTCTGAACGCCGACACGAACAGAGAAACACGAACCTTCGATGATGTCTTTGAAAGTGTTCTTCCTTTTGCCGTGTTTATGATGTCCCGGTCCGTGATGGTCGTGGTCGTGGTGTTCGTGGTCATGGTTGTCGTGACGATGACGGAACTTTTTTCTCTCTTTTTTCCGTCTCATCTGTGAGAAAATTCAACAGCAGGAAGAACAAACCTTTGACTTTGTGCAGAATGTGTCGTCTGACTTGAAGTAGCAGAGATGTTTTCAGTACGTACGTCGGCCGGGATGAGGAGCGCTGCGAGGAGGAGGCAGAAGAAGAGGATCTTCAGGTTCATGATGGCAGCAGGTCAGGAGAGATCCAGGACGGAGAGAAAAGAGTGCAGCGTCTCACTGATCACTCACTTTTCTAAACATTTGAGTAAGGACACTAACCTTTATTCTCTGTGGGCGTCTGGCAACCATCTCTGCTGCGCCATCAGATTTATTGACCCTCAGATCAGCTCCTGGAAAAAAGATCTCCTTCTGGGAAAAACTGCTGAACGTGGTTCTTCTGCAGAACTTTGGAGGAGCAAACCGAGGATCTAAATTCAGAGTCTGACCAACATTTTAATGCTGATAAAAACTAAAATAAAGTTTAATATTTGACGGTAACCTGCAGACAGAAGCTAAAGCTCAGAGAGCATGTTTGCAAAGCCCACTGTTTGTTTGGACGTAGACTTTGGATCCACAGAGACCAGGTCCACATGAGGACCAGGTCCACATGAGGATACACTTCTGAGTACTTTGGTCGTTTTATTTCATAGAATTATCATGATGCTTTATTTTGAACATGTTTGATAAAAGTACGATGACTTTACTTTCGTCTGTGAACCTCAGGTTCTGTTTCCTTTTCTCAGTGAAATTAACGAACAAATAAAACAAACTGTGAAAGTGAGAAAGAGCTGAAAACACGGAGACAGAGAAACCGGAGAAAAAGAGAACGACGTGAAGATAATGAAGAAATTTAATAAAGATTTACTTCAGCGCCGAGAAGACATGAACACGAACAGAAACCACGGGGTTATAAAACGTGTCTAAGGCGACGTTCAGACTGCAGGTCATTCTGATGTTTCAACCATCTGTGACTCATCTCTGATGTTTTCATCTCAGTGTGAACAGGTCAGTTCTGATTGGTTCTGATCCGACCCTCTTCTGTATGTGGATATAAATCAGATATGTATCTGATGTGACTGCAGTGTGACGCTCAGGTCGCGTTTATCCGACCTTTACGTCATCAATATGAGACAAACGTCACCATTGTTCAACAACACAAACAGGAGCGGAGAGATATTTGTGCTTTTGTGTTCATGAGGGTCACTTCACGGACGCATTCGTTGTTGTAACGTGAACGACCGCACAAGAAGATCGGATTTAACAAAAAATCTGAATTATGCGTCAGACCTGCAGTGAGAACGTCGCCTTAGAGGAACCCGAGGAACTGAGTGAAGGTTTACAATAATGGGGGGGGGGGGCACAGAGACTAAAGTCACAGAGAAGGGGGGAGACGGGTGAGACTGAAACCACATCTCCACGTGGTCCCACGAAGTCCATGAGGGGTTGAAGTCAGAGCGTTTCCTCCATCATGTTGAACTTTTACTAAATCCTGAAACGACCGTTGGTGTGCACTTTGTTTGTTATCGACTTGTCTTCTGTAGAGCTCCAGTAGTTCCGTAATTCGCCTCGGAGTCGTGGGCGGAGTCAGCGTTGCTAACATTTCCTGTGTCGTAGAAGTAGCAGGTAACATCGGCGTTAATCGG